AAAGTGAGAGCTACTTTTTGGCCACAGTTAAGGTTAGCAAAAGCTTTCAAATATTTTCTACCTTCCATAAAAAATCCAAGATAATGGCACTGCCAGTGGTTTGCAAACAGTTTTGATCATAATCCTGAAATGCCCTTGCATTTATGGGGATTAAATCAGACCTCAAATAATACTGGAACATAACTCTGGTGGTCTAATCGCTTAATTATGTCACTCCAGTGATACATTTTTATTATTTACAGAAGAGGTCATAAAACTGTTTGCAGATGTTTAACTTTTGATTATTTTAATTCTAGCAGTAAATAATGTAGCAAAACAGCTTTTAAAGATCTTCCCTGAGTGTATTTGTTATGCTTACGTTATTCCCTGAGTAACGTTTTAACAATTGCTTTAAGCTGAATATCCTCTTCCATATGAACAGCACTTAAATCACAAACTATAGTAAAATTCTGTTGAAAATTAAATAATGGAGAATTGGTAGTTCCTAATTAACCAGTAGGAAAAGTTTATGAGAGGCGGATTGAATAAATATCAAAGCTTCTGAGTTATATTATCTTTCATAAATTGGCTTTTCTCCAATTAGTGTGTGCTTTCAGAAGCAGGGGAATAAGATGAAAGGATCTGCATCAAAACTGATTACTGCTGAAACAAAATGGAAGTTGCTGCTTTTGATAAAATAAAGGACTATGGCAGTGCTTGAATAATTTTATGGGAAGTTACTGCCTTAGGCATATGTTTTACTGTCTGATACTGAGTGCATGAGGAAAGACCATCTGTTTTTTTCAGCCTGAACAAATATATGATCCAGATTGAACCACTAGAGGCCAAATATAATTGCTTTGTGTTTTGCTTTGTACTACTCTCTACCTACAGCAGCCTCTTCTTGTACAGCATGTATCATAACACACAGTTCAACTGCTGGCATTCAAACAGACTTTTTCCTCCATTGATGGTTATAAAATGACTATCCAGGGCTTAATGCAATCCTCTACACTTCATCTGTCACTGGAGAAATGGTTCATGGTAGGAAAGAAGAACTTCAGATACACTTTGACCACTGTGGCGTCTGGAACTTGGGGATTTATTTTTGCTGGCCAGGTCCTTGTTCGATGTCAGCCAGGTGAAAGGCGTTGCTGTATCCCACATGCCTTCAATTCTTGCTGGGGAAAAAGAGAGGTGCTTTCATTGCAGACCCTGAGTAAACAGATTAAATTTTAAAAAGTAAAAAGTGAATCCTGACTATTGGTTTACTTTGAAGGAAAGCACATCAGTGGTAAATAAACTACAGAAAATATACCAGAAGACTTAATCCTTTTACTTTCATTGCTAGCGTTGTGTTTTACAGCACCTAAAAGTATGCTTTTAGTTTTGCAAGGCTAATAGGGCTGGGTTTCTCCCCTCCCCCAAAGTGCTTACAGTCTAATTTTAGACATAATATGCTGAATGGCAGTAAAAAAAAGTGTTCAGTGTTGGAGGGAGGAATGAGGGATAGAGGGTCGAGATTTGAGTGTGTGGGTGGATAAATGCAAACATTTTTCTTTTGTTCTTTAATAATAATAATTAATAACAATGCTCCATTCCTTGTAGAGTTTCTGGAAAAACTGAGAACAAAAGGTTATAGAGGTTTGGAAAAATATCTTTCCAAGACTATTCTTATGTATTGCTGTGAGGATTGTTTCTGCTTTCCATGGATAATCTGCAGAACTATGTCTACCAGGTGCTAATCTGAACTGCACCTGGCTTTCCTGAGTATTTACCTTTGTTTTGATTAATACACTGCTTAACTGTACTGGTTCCCTCTCCTGACTTACTTTTACCATCTATCATGAATTAACACTTTGCCCACAGTCATCTTCTAAACCACGGTCCTAAGGAACTGTGGAAAGCAAGTGGTGGGTGAGTGGAGGATGGTTTTGTGGCTGCAGGACTGGGCTGGAACTTAAAAGGTTCAGGTTTATTCCACCTATAAAGACTTTCTGTGTAGCCTTAGGCAAGTCCCTTACCTTTTCTGTGCCATGGTCTCCAGCTGTGATATGGGAACAACAAGCTTTCTTTTTTCCTGCTGCGTCTGTTTTTTATAATTGTGCTATAAGAGATCTCTTCCAAGTGAAAACTTGTGTGTTTGGACAAGACCCAGTACAACTGGGCCTCCAAATTAGTTGATGTTACTGGAATACAACTAAGCAAGAGCAATTTTTAATACCTAAACACAAGGAAACAAGAAAATATCATTTTAACTGATTCAGGACTAAAGAAATTCGGCAGAAGGAAATGACATCCTTTTATTGTAAATTCTTAGTGACTTCTTAATTTTATTTTGCCCTCCATGAAAGCCTTAACAAGGAGAAACCACATCTATGCCTATGCCAGTAGGGTGTAATTATAGCGGAGTTGTATCTTTGTATCTGAAGATGGTAGCAGCTGAAACTACCAGTAATGTTCTGGGAGATTTTCCTTTTTAAAAAAAGTGGGGGGAAGGGGAGCAAAATTGCTCACAAGGTGGATTTTTGTCACTTGCATGAGTTTTTTTATGAAACCTTTAAGCTTATATATGCTGATCTTTATCTTTCTTTAGTCTGGAAGATAGATGTGCCAATGGTATGTGCCGGAGACACCCTTTACCTTCCTGAATACTGTTTTATTTACAGTTCTTGGTAGAGCTCATATGCAAGCTCCTACCACATTTGATTTTCAGAGTAGAATTTCTCCCCAGCAGTTAAGTGATATGCTACAAAATGTGCCTCCAATGTCTGATTGCATTGCACGTCAGATTTTCGACTAGAAATTCTGAAGAAATGGACTTACATTTTTGTCTAGTGTACTGGATATATTACAGCACTACTGTATTACAGCATTATGGAAAGTCCATATGTTATAAGGGAAAGAGCAATTTCAGCTCCTGAAGCACAAGTGGAAGCAGATGCAATAATACATTAAAGTTTGTATCCAGTAGTTAAAATCATAGAAAAATTTAGGTTGGAAAAGGCCTCTTCAGGTCATCTAGTGCAACCTCCTGCTCAAGGTGGAGCTCATTTCAAAGTCAGGCTTTTCCAGCCAAGTTCTGAAATCTCCAGGGACAGAGATTTCACAGCCTCGCTGGGCATCTTGTTCCGGTGCTGAACCACTTTCACTCTGACTTTTTTTTCCTTATAGGTAGTCATAGGTTTCCTTCCTGCAAATTGTGTCCTCTCTGCCTTCTTTATAACCAGAATTACGTAGCTGAGGACAGCAGTCAGAGGTGTTGGCCTCCCTTTGTGCAGGCTGGACAAACCCAACTCTGCTCAGCCCCTCCTGTACATCATAAACTACAGCCCCTGACCACCTTGATGGCCCTCCACTGTGCTCACTTGAGTTCGTCCATCTTTCTCCCATGCTGGGGAGCACCAAACTGGGCACAACGCTCCAGATGTGGTCTCTCAGATGCCAAACTGTGGGAAATAAGCACTTCCCTCAACCTTCTGGATACGTTCTTGCGAGTACAGCTCAGCATGTGGTTGGGTTTCATTGCCAGAAGAACACATTGCTGAGTGATGTTCTACTTGGCCACCAGAAACACCCCTGAATACCCCTCAAGTACTTTTCTGAAAAGCTGCTTTCTGTGTCTTCAGAATTCTTATGTTGGTTGATGGAAACATCATATTGAAAAGCATGTGCACCCTCAACACAAATCAGTTATTTCTATGCTTTTCTCCTTTGTCTCTGGAAGATATCTGAGTCCCTTTTGTATCAGGAAGGAGCCATTTGTACTTTCTTGCAGTGCATTAGTTGCAATACTTATTCATGTTGGGTTAGAGCATCTGCTAACAAGAGTCCTAGCAATTAAGACAAAAGCCAAAGGCCTGCCCTTTTCGGCTGACTCATTGCCCAGCATGACTGACAAGTGTTTTAAGAAGGAAAATAGCAAAACATTGATAGAATCAATTATTACTACTTGCAAAATCCAGTTCAAGTGCTAGAATTTAGAGAACATGCACCACCTTGTACTCAGTTGCTCCTGATTAGTCAGTTCATGGTATTCTGGGTGAAATAAACTTTTCTTCTGATTCTTTTCATAGATAGCTTCACCAGCCCAGCGGCCTTATTATTTGCGATGCAGTACAATAGGAAAGGATATTCCTTATCATCCATAGTATAGGCCTCGGAGCAATACCAACTCTGCAGGCTCATGTCTGTACACACCACGTGTGCTGTATGCTGTAAGGATCAGACACGCAGAATTTCTGCAGTGACAGCAAGTGTTTGCATCTTCCTCGCAGAGATTTAGCAGAGTGTCAGTGCTTTGCTTTGCCTGCGTGTATTTGTCAGTAGCATGAAACATGCAAGTTCATGGAAGCTCAAAATTGTGGTCATGTTTTCCTGATTGTAATTACATGACTTGTGTAAGACTTCCTTATTTTCTCCTTTGTTTTAAATTCTTCAATGGATTGTATACAAATAAGTTTCTTCTTAGAATGGAGCGTGATCAACTTAACGCAACCTCTCAGCTTCTGGCAGTTTGTACATGAAGTCTGTTGCTTAGAAGTTGTTTAAGATGGGCAAAGTCAAAGCAGTTGGGTGCAATATGCATCTTAGCTCTTTGATAAGCTTATAGAGCAGATTTCTGTGGTCAATTGTGGGAGAAATGATTTTTCAGTCTGGAGAGAGGGCTCTCCCCTTGGGGATCGTTCTTTAGAGCCACTAAGAGTATCTGGGCTGCATAAAGGTACAGGACTGTGATACCAAAAGTAGTGTCTGTGTATATTGGGTCATTGCCCCAAGAAAATCTTGTTTCTTCTGTTTGTTTCCATTAATTCTACCAGTGCTGCTCAGAAGCACGTGGATTTTGTAACAGGCTATTCTAATGTCTTTGACAAACTAAGTTAAGTAATGGTTGAATTCCCTTCTATTAATGAGACTGTTTACTGATAGTCTTCTATTAATGTTGGTGAAGTAGGATCAATGTAGATACTGGATCAAGGTCTCAAAAATATTAACAATTATTAATATTCTTTCTTTTTCAGTTTTCTCCTTGTGTTTGGTTGCTTGATTTTGTCCGTGTTTTCTACTATTCCCGAACACACAAAACTTGCCTCTGGTTGTCTCTTCATTTTGGTAAGTGAAACTTAATAAAAGACAGTTTTACAGATACTTTTATATACACTCAAATCCTCTCCCTCACCATGGAAAAAATAGTATAATTCCTGAACGCTTTAAGAAATGGCACTTTTAATCAGGCTGATGAAAAAATAATAAAATAGAGGATTCCACCATCTTTTTCTTTAAAAACAGGTCAGATTGTATGAAAGTGTTAATAAAGTACTGCGTTGCATCCTCTTCTTTGCTTGAGAATTGCTGTGTTTTATTACCGATAGTTTTTCTACTGCAGTTTGGCAGTGACTGAGCATGAAAGACCTTTGATACTGCTGCTGCCATTTATAAAGTCAGTATGTAGTAAGAGGCACTTATACTTAAAATAGGAAATAATTTTGGTATCTTAGATACCGATTTGTGCTAGCTATTGGTAGATACTGACATTTTAGTGGCAGTTGCTGCAGTAGGATATGGTAGTTTCATTATTTCTTCATAATACAAGCTTTTGTATTATGTTTATCTCTCCTTTTTCCCTTCCAAGGTAGATATAAATGGCTTTAATCCCTAAAAGTGCTTAACATTTTTCATGCATTGTATGGACGACAGTTTTTTCATCTGCTTCTTGATGGGCCATTTAGTTCTGCGAGTGATGGCCTGAGGATAGGCGTTAGTGATCATTAAAATGTCACTATATACCCAGAGTTACCATGGTTATTTTAGATCCATGTATACAGCATACTGTGGCTCGTTAGGTAGTGCCTGGGGTGAAGTAACTGTTGACAAATGCCAACATTTTATTTGTCGTCACTGTATACATCCAAAAGCCCTGCTCTTCAGAACAGCTCCCTAATTAATTATGGTATGAGCAGGCTGATAAGCATAATTATGTTGTTTGCTAAGTCTCTACAGCACAGTGTGCTACTGCATCAAGATACCTGAACTAAACCTCCAGAGCTGGCTAGGTGCAGAAGCATGGTACTCTGCTCCATCTGATGGTTTCTTAGGAAGACTAATTAGGAAGAGCTGCGCTAAATGTGATATTTTTCTTCCCAGCCATATTAGCCCTTTTCCTTGAGAAAAGATCAGGTGGCATTAAACCACCTAAAAGTGATCAGATTTAATCCTATGCTCATACCTAGCCTCATTATTTACATATCTGAACAACACTCTGCAAATAGAACTTTGTTTGAATGTTCTGCACCTAGTTACATTATTGCAATTATTACACTAATTGCTAAGATTTTCGGGTATATAAAACAGGAAAATTTGAAAATATCCTATTTCTAATAGCAGGTGTTTTTGTGACAAGTAATCTGTTTCCCTGTATACTTATGCAAATTGGTTGTAGAAATGCCATTTGTTCTGACATAAAATATGCATTTCCCACGAGCCACATATTTGTTGGTTGTGTTGGTACGCTTACTGCCGCTGATTCCTCGGCTGGCTGATAAACACATTCCCTGTGCTTGACCGTGGCTCGGCCAGGAGCCTGAATGTGGAGGAGCTCTGTGAAGTCCTGGGTTTGCTCCCGCCTCTGGGGAGAGGTGCAGTGAGCTCCACTACCCAATACACCAGTCCTTGTAGAGGTGTCCATCAGCGGAGAGGAACCACTCGGGGTCTGCAGGGGGAAACTGCAGCACTTTCTGCTACTGCGGCTTCAAAGATGGACTTTGTCCATCTTAACAGTTCTGACCGTAGATCCTGTGGCCTCCTCTGAGCACAGAATGACCTTAAGGAGGAAGAGGATGGAAGGTTAATCCTTGAAGCATCAATACTAGCTTGGTCCAACATTTCTATGCTATAGCCTAGTGTGTTCAGCAAACCCTTGGCAGGAATATATCTAGTGATGACGAATTTTACGGCTCCTGCTGTGGGTCTCTAATGGAGAAAAATATAAACACAGCAGCAAAGTATGAAGTTCCAGAAGCAGGCTAAAGCTGACTGGTTTATTCCAGTTTGCTGATGCACGATTTGCTCCTTCTTTGCATACTGAATCATTAGCTGATATTAGCAATGTTATCAAAGCAGGCTTTTGCCACTACAAACCAAGAGAAAAATACATTTCTACATTAACTCAGGAGCAGTTGTTTTGGCTGTGCCAACACATAACCGCAGTCACTAGAGTTTTTGCAGCCTTTTCCTTGCAGTGATTCACACAACCCTTGCAAATGTGTTGTTTCGTAGAGAAAGCTCTGTTAACTATCAGAGATCTGTTTTAATACTGTTTTGCTTTGTGCTCGAGATGGAAGATATATGTTTATTTTCTAATGAAGTATCATGCAAATACAACAATCCGTAGAGCTGGGTTTCTGTGAACTGTTTGCTTCGCAGATTTATTCCAGATGGTTCCCCCTACAGCCATGTTAGTTGGCTAAAAAGCTAAGGCAATCTTCCCTCAACTTAATACCTGGGCTGCTGCCTGCGCTGGCACCTGTGGCTTTTGACATATTGCAGCTATTCACAGTTACACAGGGAGGTTAAAGAGGGAAGTGTCGATGAGGTGGGCAAACCTTTCCCTCCTTCTCAGAAAGGCCAGAGGAGCTGAGAAGATTATTGTTCTGCAATCAGTCAATTCCATTTATCTCCCCCCGCCTCGCCTTGCAAGGGAGCAGAAGACATATCTCCTAATCACTGCATCCTAACAACTCTCTCAGAAAAACACAACAGTGTGCGATAGCTCAAAGTAAATCACCATTTAGGAAAACAGTATTAGCTGAGGGCTTCTAAGCATCAGCAGAGGTTAACGGACTCATCTGAAGTGCAGAACTGCCTGAGCTGTGCTCCCAGAGCCGACGCAAACCTGCCCCGCTGCGTAGCCAGCCAGGGCTTCGCTTCTGGCATCTGCACAAGTACTGCCGTCTTCCTAGGCATCTTCTACTTATCAGGGGGCCTGTCAAGGGAAACACGCTTAATATTTGAATTTTATGCTTAAAATGGAAGTCCTGCAGATAAGTTAAGTGCATGTTGCATACAGCAAGGTTGGATTGTTATATCAGTAATTAATTTGGTTAGATTTTTGTCCAGAAATAATAAGCCTAACCAGGGGGAGAGCATCAGATAAAACTCCATATACCTACAATTATAATTATGCTTTGGCCTCGTCTGTGCACACAGCTTCTGGCTCTTAAGTTGTAGCAGTGATATAGCCCAGACAGACAGCAGAATAAAATCTAGTTCAACATCAAAAAAGCCACAAGCAGCTTAAGAATCCAACTAACACAGCAAGAAAATAAGCTTTGGTGTTTTGCTGATCTCCTACGTTTCCTGGCACTGTATCAAATAATAAACACAAGGGAAGTAAAACTTGGGCTGGGAAGGCAAAATCAAATCTTTTGGGAAGGAATATAGGAATATATCTGGAGCTGGAGGTCATTCACTCTCATGACCAAACTCTCTATATTTTAAGATCATTTTCGATTAAATCTATGTGAATAACTGTTTCACTTGTTTGCTGTCAATGCAAAAAAATGAATAAAATAGTTTCAGTTGACCCACAAAGATTTGGCAAATCAAAAAGCCCAAAAAAAGTCTTAGATCAGATTAAATGTTTGATTTGACCTGGCATAAAATATTATTTGCATATTTGAGCATTCTAGAACTTTTGGCTTAAAAGTAAAATTGAGGCTGTAGGAAAAAATGTCATTTTTATTTGAAGAGACAAGCACTTCATTTTTTTTCATAATTTTGATTTTTAATCAGGATGGAAAGATTGCAAAACTCATGTGAATTTCTGCACGAGTGGTTTTGCCAAATCTGTTTTGTTTTTTTCTCTGAAAAAGGCTGGGGTAGAAAGCTGTACCTAGTTCTGTAGGATAAGGGCCTCTGAAAATGTACTTTAGGAACACATTCTTCAGGCAGAAATAGCTCCCAAAGACATAAAAGCAGACAGTGTGCAGTAGATGAGGCTAGCTTCTACATGTCCTGTGGTCACTTATACCAATCCAAAAGGAGAGTCTAGAAAGTGCTTCTAGCAATTAAGATCTTCCTAATATTTTTTCTTCTAACATTTTCCCATAAAAGAAATGTAGAAAGAGGATGAACATTGATTTAAAAAACATAGAGTATAGCAGGCAAGCACATATTTAATTTGTCTCTGCTCTAGGAGAGTGAATCCATCCACAGAGATGTAATCACACAAATCCACTACAAAATCTGAAAGCTGGGCAGAGTGGATTTTAAAAAAGGGAGATGGATAGTGCTTAATTCAAAAAGTAGCATTTTTCAGTTTAGATTTATTGTCCCAGAACTTGAATCCTCTTGCAATGCTTGGATAAAAGACCACCAGACCTGGGAAGAGGGCTGGATGGATGGCTCTGTAGGACCAGCTAACAATGCATAAAAGGAGAAACTGAACGATCTTGAGAGATTTCAATTCTAGATACATTTCTAAGAAGGTACAGTACAGACCACATGTTAATCACAGTTTTATTGAGACTTCCCCAAGAGAAACAGATGAACTGATCCCTAAGCTAAAAAATCAGTGATATTCAAGTTTACTAGAGCTTGCCAAAACTCAAAATTAGTGTTTCTCAGGAAATGCTCATTTCCAATGTTTTATTTCATCCCAAATCAAAGCGAGGCTTTGAAATTTCAAAATTTCAGCATAGAAATCTCTGAAAAATTATGTCTGTTAAAAATAAAAAAGTGATGTTTTCAAAGACAGGAAAAGAGAGGGAAAGGTGATGTTGATAAGGTCAAAACCTTCATGACTTCAGTCTTGTTTGGATTCATATACACTAATATAATTAGGTGATAACATGAGCGTAAAACAATTCAATCGTCATAATAAACCACCTGTTAGCTTTGAAAGAAGATATTCTTACCTTATCAAAATAAATAATTTCATGTCTTTGTTGATTAAATTTATAGTCTCCTATTATGTATACTGATTTCATCAAATCAGGGCTGACCGGTGTTATAAAAATTTGGACCAGATCTCATCACAGCTGCTTGAGAATCTTTGTGTGCAAACAAAGCAGAGTTCCCATTGGAAATGTAAGTGCTGGTTGCACTTTTCTGAA